ACTCATACCCTTACCACATTTTTATTTGTTTATATTTTTCTAATCCCAAAAATAAAATAAAAATAATAATAAAATATAAACCAATTCGATTTGTTTGCAAAAAAAAATCATAACCTAAGACATACCTTTAAGTTCAGCATCTTTTTCCCAAGCAGTTCTATATTTATGAGCATATGATGCCATTTCAATAACAACTAAGCAGCCTTACTTTAGCCTCTTTCTTTTACTGTAATAATATTAAAAGCTGTATTAAAATTTAGAATACAGCAATTTAGAGCACTACGCACTATAACCGCAAAGAAATGCAAAACGCAAAATAACAAATAAACAATGCAAGCAACGTCGGTCGTTGGGGATTCCCCAGATCCGATTTGTCAAGTCAATTGTCATTTGTCATTACAAATTAAAATAGATCTAGAACTGAGCGTTTGCGTTCATCCCGAGAAGAAGCAAACTGTATCTTTTTTATTGGTACTCGATTGAAAAAATAGATGGCGCAGTTGTTTTAATACATTTTTTACTTTAGTTTCATTCATTGGAATATACCCGATTTCCCCCAATAGCGAAAATTCTTACCCCCAAAAAATCCCCCAGAAAAAACTATCCCCCAGATTTCCCCCATCTACTTGAAAATCCCCCAAATTTGGGGGAAAATCCCCCAATCTGGTAACACTGTAATCCGCCCCCAGGTATCCCCTCCGCAGCAGCCGCACTAGGCCTCACGTTCGCCATATGTGTTCGCATTCCAGTTTTTGGTTATAGTTCATTGGTTGTCACATTGTGATTGTTGTTAGGTTTGTTTCTGCAGAAATCACAAACCATCAGTCAGAGTAAATTTCATAAGGTCTGTTTCTGCAGAAATCACAAACCAGTCAGAGTGAATTTCATTAGTTGAAGCTGGTTTTCTGACTGTTTTCAACCAATGAAGTTCGCTCTGGGGGGCTTTATTGGAAATTGTAATTGAAGCAACTTTTTGCGTACATGCAAATAACGTACCATTTAGGCGGTTACACACGGACGTGGATGTCTTAATACATATACGTGCATACATCAACGTGCAGACAACAACGTGCATGGCGCTTTTGTACAGACGCTCGCACAAAACTGCAGTCTTGCTATTCTTGCTACAGTATTCCGAGTGTGAATACAAAATTGCACATTCAAAAACGCGACGATATTTTGCATAAGGCGGTTACACACGGACGTGGATGTCTGAAAACATGTACGCACATACATGAACGCTCAAACAAAAACATCAATGTGTATGCAAAATAACGTCGCGTTTTTGAATGTGCAATTTTGTATGCACACTCGGAATACTGTGGCAAGAACAGCAAGACTGCAGTTTTGTGCGAGCGTCTGTACAAAAGCGCCATGCACGTTGTTGTTTGCACGTTGATGTATGCACGTATATGTATTAAGACATCCACGTCCGTGTGTAACCGCCCCTACACATTGATGTTTTTGTTTGCGCGTTCATGTATAGTTTGGCAAGTGGTAACTTGGTAGAGACGAAAGGGGGGAGAAATGTGGGGCGTAACCTAAGAATATTCACTGACACCTCAACTGACACCGCCTGATGACAACTATGTCTTTGGGTTCAGTGGCACCGAAAACAACAAGGAAATAAACCAAAAAATTATTAGGAAAAAAATTCTTCAGTTTCACGAATAACCACGCCACTGGTGCTGTCGTTCAGGCTCTAACCAATAGAATCATGCCTCTAAATAATCACGCCTCTCCGCTTCCTTCATTTCGTAATGTTGCCGGATTTTTTCCTATTTCAAAATACTACACGGCCCATATTGCAAAAAAAAATATGTCACCAACTTGTTTATTATTGTTTCTGTCAAGTTTGGCATAGCAGCAAATTCTTTTTGAGTTCGCCGTTTGGCTAGCCAGACTATATGTGCGTACATGTTTTCAGACATCCACGTCCGTGTGTAACCGCCTTGTGGATGGCTTGATACATATACGTGCATACATCAACGTGCAAACAAAAACGTGCATGACGCCTTTGTACAGACGCTCGCACAAAACTGTAGTCTTGCTATTCTTGCTACAGTGTTCCGAATGTGCATACAAAATTTCTAGCGATTCAACATTCAAAAAGGCGACGGTATTTTGCATACACATTGATGTTTTTGTTTGTGCGTTCATGTATGTGCGTACATGTTTTCAGACATCCACGTCCGTGTGTAACCGCCTTTAGGGATTAAAAATTGGTGTACGGCTAATGCCTAGTACTCATAACTGCGAAATTCGCATTTTTATGACATTGCTTCGACAATTTGACGTTTGATACACGCATAAAACGTCAAATTTTCAACGCAATGTCAAAAAAATGCGAATTTCGCAGTTATGAGTACTAGGCTTAAGGGAGGATTTTCATGCATCCGTTTTTCCGACGAAATATGTCCGTTTAACATTCTATTCTGACATAATCGTATATAAATATGTCAAAATAGAATGTTAAACGGACATATTTCGACGGAAAAACGGATGCATGAAAATCCTCCCTTATTTGACTTGACATGTGTACTTTTTCAATCAAAAATGGCGTCATTTGTGTCATACATTACAGAACTTTTAAAGCAGAGACTTCAAACTAGCTGTCTCTGTGTCAAAACGTTGTGTACTTGAGTGGTTGGCTAATTAATAATATCATTGTCATCAACCGTGTTTTTGAGCTTGCACAAAGACGAGTTTGTTTGCTTGCTGCTTATCAGCAAGGTAATTTCAAAATACCCACATAAATATATATTAAAATCTTCATAAAGTTTGTTTTTTATTTAAAGATAATTCCCCAAGTCCAAAATTTAGTAACTGTTGGCAACATAAGCCTTTTCCACATAAAAAATTTGAAAGCATTGACAATTTTACATTGTATTGCCAACATAATGTCATTTTGACTTTTATCTTTAAAAAAAAACAGCCATTACATTTATTTCGCCTTTTTCTAGTGCAACAGCTAGGTAATACAGCTAGTACTTTATAATTAATATGTTTCTCTGTTTATCAAAAATCACAAAGTTGTGACATTTTGTGTAATAATGATTTAATTTTTGCATTTCTAAATATCAAAATATAATCAATCAGAAGAACACTGCAAGTTTCCCATCTCTTCCATGCGTTTACATTGAAAACGCGCCAATAAAGGAATGCAGGTGACGTCACAGCACTGGTGTACAGATTCAGCCGATTGACTGATTGAGTAATCATGTAGAGTTTACGATTCTTGGGTTATGCCTATTTTCTTCCTTCTTTTTATTGTGGTGGACATTGCAACAGTTAGTTCAGTTGAACCTGGATGCAGTGGTACAACCTTGGTACAAACACTCTAAATTCGGAACCACGTTCATTCAACAGTGAACTGAACTGCGGTTCAACCATAGGGTTCAACCAATGACATTAACCCTTTTCACGTGGCTCCGGTTTAACAAACCGCAACATACCGCTCAAATTCGAGTGGTAGGTATTTATCACGTCACTTTGTAACCGGAGGTGCTTTCCAGTGACCCATTTGAGTTACTCCTGAGCAGCTCAGGAGTGCTCCACAATTGCTTTGCGCGTTCCAGTGCTTAGAGTGTCGTACACTTGAGCTACTCATTTCTGTTATCCCCTGCCTCCTCGTGCACCAACCCTTTTGTCTGTGTTTCATGCTCCTGAAATCCGAAATGGTGGGGGTTAAGACGAGAGCGTTCCAGTGCTGCTTATGTCGCTGCTTATGTTCAAGAGCGTCACACTTCAGGAGCATGATACTCTAACAATTTAGGCACTGGAAAGCGGCTCGGGTTAGAAAACGGTATGTCATTTCTCTAACCGTTTTGTAACCCGATTAGTTTGAACCGGAGCCACGTGAAAAGAACTAATAGCCCTTTTCACGTGGCTTCGGTTTAACAAACCGCAACATACCGCTCAAATTCGAGTGGTAGGTATCCCTCACGTCACTTTGTAACAGGGTTAGAAAACGGTATGTCATTTCTCTAACCGATTTGTAACGCGGTTAGTTAAACCGGAGCCACGTGAAAAGAACTATTGGGTTTAACAGAACTTGTGTGGAATCATAAGTTCTGTTTCTGCAGAAATCGCAAACCAGTCAGAGTGAATTTCATTAGTTGAAACTAGTTTTCTGACTGTTTTCAACCAATGAAATTCGCTCTGACTGGTTTGTGATTTTTGCAGAAACAGACCTATTATTTGTACAACCGGGTCTTAATTAAGGTCTGTTCCCACAGGAATCTCTGACAGTTTTGAACCTGTCAGAAACAATCGCTCAGCTGAGTTACAGATTTATCTTGTAACGACAGCATTGAAAACATGTATGGGCGATGCTTACTGACAGTTTGCAAACTGTCAGAGACTCCTGTGGGACAGACCTTTAGTCTTTGAAGGTAATGACGAACGACAGGGCAGAGAGCTTAATTTCATAATCCGTTTTATCAAGTTTTCCTTCACTTGCTCTGAGTACACCAGACTAAAATCCCTCACATTCCATCAACTCCAGCTGCCCGATTCTATTTTACGAGTCGAGTCGAAATTTGTATCGAATTGTCAAAATAGCGATTCTGTTTTCCGATTTAGGGCGGGTATTATAAAACTGCTTTGACAGTTAACTTGAAGATAACTTTTTGAATTACATGTATTTTCAGAAGTTAACTTTAAGTTAACTTTCAAAGTAGTTTTATAATACCCACCCTTACAATACCTATTACACGGAAAGTCCGGAGCTGTCGTATTCGATATCGAGACAATTCGACTCGACTCGTAAAATAGAATCCGGGGGCTGGCTTTGATATTAGTTGTATTCCATTTTTGAGAGTTTGGAACACTCGTCTTCTCGCTCCGGTGTATAGTCGTCCCCGATTTGAAAGGAAGAGATACGTGGTGTAACAAACTTTTTTCGGAAGGAATAACCCCGTAACGCCCCGGAGCTGCCTAGCGATTCTCAATCGTCAAGTCGATACGTAACGTCCCGACTCCCTGTAGAAAGGCAATGGGGGGAAGTCGGTGTCGATAGGTTGCGACTAGAGGTTGAGAATCGGGGGGCTGTTCCGGAGCTACTCCTAGTTCGAAAGGAATAAAATATTGGAATGTATTTATTAGGGAGATTTCTCAGGTAAATGTCAATGTCACTTGCCAAATTCGAAAGTGCTTGTTTACAAATAAATGCCGCCAAAAACCCAAAAGTATTGCTGCTTAACATAACATAACCCATAACCCTGATCCCTAATCTGAAACCTCAATCACGAATATACAATAATAATAATTATCAAGATGCAGGCTTTTTTAAAAATGGGAAAACTCGGGGAGCCTAGTGCTAGTCCATCCACTTCGGGAGCCCCCAAAAAAAAGACCAAAAATCTCCCGTGGGTCGAAAAATACCGTCCCAAAACTGTCGAAGACGTTGTAGAACAAAGAGAAGCCGTTTCAGTCCTGCAACAGTGTATCTTGGGTGCCGATCTACCGAATCTCCTATTCTACGGACCTCCAGGTACAGGAAAAACTAGTACCATCTTAGCTGCTGCCCGTCAACTATTTGGAGATCTTTACAAAGAAAGAATCTTGGAACTGAACGCTTCAGATGAAAGAGGTATTCAAGTGATCAGAGAGAAAATCAAAACTTTTTCTCAATTAACTGCTAACAGTTCTAGAGCTGATGGTAAGCTATGTCCTGCTTTAAAAATTGTAATTCTTGATGAAGCTGATGCTATGACGCATGCAGCTCAAGCAGCCCTGAGGCGAACAATGGAGAAAGAAACGAAAACGACACGATTTTGCCTTCTCTGCAATTATGTTTCAAGAATAATTGAGCCCCTCACATCAAGATGCACCAAATTTAGATTCAAACCTCTAAATCAATCATTTGTTTTGGAAAGACTGCAAGAAATTTGTCAAGTTGAAGATGTTCTGATTAACGATGATATTTTGAATGTTTTGGTAAAAGAAAGCGGTGGTGATATGAGAAGAGCCATAACTGCACTTCAAAGTTGTGCTAATCTTAAAGGAAAAGGTAGTCATATTACTTTGGAAAATGTCTATGAAGTTTTAACAGTGGTACCGAGCAAATGGGTCAACAGCTTTTGGGATTTATGCAAAAAACCATCAGACATAAAAGAAATTATCCAATTCATTGATGATTTGGAACAGCAAGCTTATCCAATTCAGAAAGTCTACGAACATTTGAATGATTTCCTAATGGATTCAGAGAATATCGACGATCGTCTAAAATCGGAAATAGGAGAAAAGCTTGCAGAGTCAAGCTTTAGGAGTAGCTGCGGCCGTGGGGATTTCACTAATTTATTAGATTTTGCTGTGCATACTCAAGAAATTCTCACTGAACCTTTGGAGAGAAGGAGAATGCAAGCACTTGAAAATGCTAAGTTTACCACCATTCTTGGATTATCTTAGGATGGTTGCCTATTATGTGGATTTCTTTTTGAATTTTTGCTTTTTTAATGATTACAATAATTATTATAGGTTTATTTTTGTATTGGTAATAAAGTAAGATAAATACATTTTTCTGAATTGTGTGTTTATTTGGGAATAAGAAAATGTCGAAATCGAAAGTGAATTTGATAGTTATTTATGTATCAAGGGAATTATGAGGACAAAGTTTGTGTCCCGAGGGCCTTCGGCTCGAGGGACACCAATTGCCCGTGGGTATTAACACCTGATAATTCCCGTGGTACATAGATAATTTTATTTCCTACTGAATTTCCTGTATTTTGTCCATTTTTATAAAGAAATAAACCATAAACCAAAATTTCTATTTTTTGTCACAGTTTCACCTATTCAAGGTCAGAGCTGGGCAGGGCTTGAGTACTTTGTGCTTGCGAAAGTGCTTGAAGCACTTTGAGGGCTTGAAAGCCCTGTGCTTCAAGCCCTTTTATAGATTTGTAATTGGGGCTTGCAAAGTCAATTACTTTAGAAAAGTGCTTGGTAGTTTGTAATTGAAAAAAGTAATTCAAGCCCTTTCAATGAGCTTCAATTACTTTTAGAGGGCTTGAAGCACTTTTGGGAGCTTGAAGCACTTTGAAAGGGCTTGAAGCACTTTAAAAGGGCTTGAAGCACTTTGAAAGGAATTTGAATTGACCATCACTCAACCTATCCCCCACTTGAAAATTTTCGATCGTGTTTTGTCCCTTAATTTTTTTTTCTATTATTTGAACTTGAACCGTCTTATGTCTTTTCTCTCTTAACAATGGAGGTTTTGGGTCTGAGCTTAGAATGGAATTTAAAAAAAAATGAATGAACTTATTAGAGAGTTATTGGAACTATTAAATACTGCGTCGCAGTATTAACCTTCCGTAACTGGCGCGCGGGCTGTGGCTCCGCAACATTTTCAAATTTGAATTTGCCGCGCAATCCCTCACTCTCCGAATCTGATACTTGTATTCCTCTAATGTTGTCCCAGCAGTATTACCTCAGAGTTTGACGTGTGTAGTGCTCTTCGTTGAAATTTTAGGAAGGGATGCGGAGCGAGAATCCGCCGCCAGTAGTAGAGCTCTATACTTTCGGAGCCAGGCCGGGGAGCATTTTTGTATCGAGCGCCCAGTATACCGCATTCGGGTAACGTCGTATTAACCGAGGCCTGTCTCATAACGAGCGTCTGATTTCCCGATCGATTGTCAAGCTACCGTACGCTTGATACTAATCTTCTGCGAAATTATGGATCGGCGTCCAACAATTCAGTTTTTTTTTTTTAATTGTTTATCATTTATTATGCACTGGCCAGAAAATTATATGTACCACATTGTCGATTCCAGCGAAATACGAACTAATTTCAAGACTAAGCAGGAAGTCGAGGTAAGGGAATAAGTAAGAGCAAAATTGTTTTATCTACATAACCTTACCATGAATAGAATACCATGGCGAGATAGAATAGGCCACTTTCACGTTTTTTCGAAAACATTTTTGAATTATTGTGTTAGCCATTCTTCCAATGAAATTATCATCTGTATACTTTTTTCTCCAAAAAAAAACGCCTATTTTTTGAAATATGTTAGATCGATTTAAAAATCGAATTTTTAAAGCAGGTAAAAATTAACAAGATTTTTGCTATTTACTTAGGGATTTGTATACCTGCAATCGTTATTTGACAAATGCGGAGATTAGATTCAGGCAGATGTAAATAATTATTTATGATGCTGTCTCTAAGTAACAAAACTAATCAAAACTAACCCAAATTGGTGCTGAGCAAAAGGTTAAGGTAAGGACAGCCTTAGGGTTAGTTTGGGATAGTTTGTTAGAGACAGCATCAAATAACTAGGCAAATAGCAAAATCTTATTAATCTTTAAGTTTTTTGCTACTTTCCATTCCACTTATTGAACTACTAGAATTAAAATTGCTTTACGATTTGACTACCAGAACCAAAATTAAACTAATACATATTACCAAGTAGCTTTGATGGTGAGGAGCCAGGAAAACTCGAAAAGATATTCGAGACTGTAGGCGCGAGTCGCGAGTATCGAGCATACGGTAGTCCGAGTGATTTTCGTACTACCGTGCGCTTGATACGTGCCGAGGTCGGGTACCCCGAATGCGGGTTGCTGGACGCTCGATACAAAAATCAGAATCCGCGGCCAGTAATAAAGTTTCCTTACTTTCTTCTATAAATTGATATTGCCTTTTAAAACTTTTCGAAGGTCAGTTATTTATTTCTGTTATTGAGTGGTGAGGCTATTTTTTGTACTTTTTTTAGATGAATTCGTATGAAAAGGAACAAGAAAGATTGAAACTTATGTTAGAATGCTTTTCCGATGACGAAGTGGAGCCGCAGTGGCGGACCTAGGACCTTCGGGGCCCGACGCAAAAATTTTTTTTGGGGCTCTGTCATGCTTTTTTTAGGTATTTTTCTTGTGGTGTTGGGGTGTGAGGTGAGTGTGCGGAAGTTATTTATATTTTTGAAGTTTTTAACAACTAAATATAGAAACAAATTTGATCAAAAAACAAGTTTATCAAGAACATATGAGACAGAAAACAAGTTAAACGAAAAAAAAATTTGTGAAAATTCAGGAACAAGGAACCGTTTATCTAAACAAAAAGAAATACAACATAGTAGTACCGCACTGCACTGCTACTGTCCGTACTCCACCGACTAGTGCCATAAATTATCTGAGTCTGGAAGACAATAGATAATTTTTTGCGAGGAGAAGCAAGCATAATCATAATCTTTTGCTGGATTATATGATGTATCATTTGTGTCATACTCCCCTAACATCAAATTCTGGGATACTCGAGGATCAAGAACACTTAATTGCTTCTGTGAGAACAAACCGAAAATCACCTTTCTACATTTAAAATCGATGAAAAAATTAACTCACTAGCACAGCCTGAATCGCAAGCATTCCATCGAGGTCTGCAGGTGACGTCATCACTACAAGCTGCTGATAGTGACGTTACTCGCAGGCCCAGAATTTGATGTAGAGGGAGTTAGGGGAGTATGATACAATTGACACATCACATAACCCAGCGTAAAGTCGACGCGTCCGCGGTTGCCGCATCGTGTCGAGTGCATCAGGCCTGGGATTACGACATTCTACTAGAATTCTACTTTCATGACGTCAGGTTGCCTAGCAACTGTCATCATCGCCTGTACTGTACGCGATAAATGTGTCGCGAATGACGTCATGAAAGTGGAATTCTACTTGTCATGATTCCAGCCCTGGATTCCCTACAGGGCCTTTATTGTCGAAACAGGAGATAAGCGTTCTGTCTTAGTTGCCCATATTTCTATTTCCATAACACTGACAAAGACAGAGCAATCGTTCTTTCTCGTGAGAAAGCTGTGCTTCGGTTTCAAGAATAGGCATCCTGGTATACAACGTTGCCGTCTCTTTCAAAATTTAATTTTCCTTTTTTTTTATATCTACGAGTTTTTTTTTATTCGTTTTTATCGGTCCCTTTAGAATCTGGTTGTGTGGGGGCCCCTCAGCTCTGGGGGCCCGACGCAGAGTGCGTCGTTTGCTTCATGCTAGATCCGCCACTGAGTGGAGGATTCGATAAATGACGAAGATGAAGACAACGATGAAGAGGATATATTAGAAAAACAAGAATTACATACAGATACTGAGCAGGAAATTTCTGATGGTGAAACTGAGGAAAAAATTCGCAATGCTGAAATTGAGGAGGAAGTTTTAGTGGTTCCTCATTTCATTGGGAAAGATAAATCAACTGAATGGACGAAACATGTTCCTCATTCATCCAAAACTCGGAAGGAAAATTTGATCACACGTCTTCCAGGGCCGAAGGAAGCTGTAAAACAATTGAAAGGTGCATCTGAAATCTGGAAACACTTTTTTGACTTGGGAATGATAGGAACAATAGGCTCGTTCAGCATATTTTTTTTATTACATATTCTAAAAGAGCGTATTGAGTTTAGCAGTTGTGCAAAATTTCATAATTTTCCGAGCCCTTGTTCATATTTAAATAAATTATCAAAAAGCTCCAAGATTGGAAATTTCGAAACACGCGGTGACGTCACTGCATCTCTCAAGTTGGTCGTGTGACGGCCTTTAGCCCGTCTTGACTCGAGAGATGACGTCATACCATCTCTAAGCGATGAATTTCTGAGGCATAATGTTTTATTATTCAAAGCCGCATAACTTTTTTAATATTTTTCCAATTGCGCTGAATTTTTTTTTGTGTGCTATATGTGAGTAATACTCCATAAAAATATCAAAAAACGTGGTTAATGGAACCTCACTGAACGAGCCTTTCCCGAGAGAGAAATGCAAAGGAAACGGTAGTAGAGACCGGTGATATCAAAAGTAATGGAAAGAGTTGTGAACAATCACCTAACCAAGTACTTGGAAAAGTACAAAATTATCAACGATAAGCAATACGGATTTCGAAAATATAGGTCAACTGGCGATTTACTTACATACGTCACTCACTTATGGCAAAAAGCGATTGAGTTGCGGGGTGAAACAAGAACAATTGCCTTAGATATATCTAAAGCATTCGACAAAGTTTGGCATGAAAATCTGCTCAACAAGCTCAAAGCAATGGGATTATCGCCGAAACTTTGCACTTGGTTTGAAAGTTACCTAAAGGACAGATCCATTTATGTTGCACTGGATGGCCAGAACTCCAACTCTTACAAAATAAATGCTGGTGTGCCACAGGGAGCAATCCTTTCGCCAACTCTTTTCCTGATTTACATAAATGACCTCATAGATAAAACAGTAAATCCACTTTATTGCTTTGCAGACGATGGCAATGTAGTCTCCTCACTCATACCACCCACAGGTCTTTCCGCACGTGAATTCCATCATCTTAGACTAACTCAAAATATCGCAGATAAATAACGACCTGGAGATAATAGAGGACTGGGGTAACAAAAACCTTGTACAGTTCAACGCGCAGAAAACCCAAGCAGCTCTGTTTTCAAAAAAGACCAGCACCGGTGAGCCAAACATCATGCTATCTGGAAGTGCTGTCACATTACAGAGTCAGTTGAACATCTTGGGGGTTACTGCAGAGACGAACATGTCTTGGCACAGTCACGTGGCAGATATTGCTAAAAGGGCCTCCCAAAAGCTGGGGGTGCTATTTCGTACAAG